GGTGGTAGTGCTTTTAATGAGTAGGATTTTGACGGCAGAGTGGGTGGAGTGTGAGCGTGTTATGTTAGGAACACAGTGCCAGAAACCCTCAGTCAATATATGCTAAGTCTACACAGCAGATGGCCTCAGCCACCACATCGCCTGCTAAAGCAAGAGTTTCTTGGGTTCATAAGCCCCAAATGTGTGTACTAGCAGATGGGCAAAATGGATCTTATTGGTTCCTTGGAATTTTCCTGGGAAGGGGTTTCTCATTTTCTGCTGATGGGTCCTTCTTAGCTTCTTGTTATTGGAAGTTTCCAATTCATCTGCACAGTTGAGTAACCTGTAGTTCTTTGAACAGTCTCTGAATCCTGACCACAACCCTGACCAACTGAAACATCTCTGGAACTGGACAAGGCGCCTATAATGTTTGAAGTTTCCTGGGGGTTTCTAATGTACAATGGGAACACCATCTTAAAGCAAACTACACTCTGTCAGCTGGTTTCACCAGTAACTAGAGCAATTAACTCTGAGAATGAAACTTTTGATTAGTTGCTAAGCTATAGATGACATCTTGCAGATATAGTATGTACACTTGGACACATTTCAGGCTTGGTGAAGTGGCTGTCTTTGATAATACCGGATACAGTCCTAATTTAAAGCTAATCAGTACTTTTTCTGAATGAGGTGCCTCATTTCTGTCCCCAGGGGATCTCATCCACCAGGATCAGAATGCAGTTCATCCATAGGGGAGTCTGTGACTCCAAGAAAGGAACTTGTGACAGTGAAAGGTGGGCTGTTAAGAACTGTTAGAACCTAGGCACACACTTCTGCATGTCCTGTGTCCTAGAGTTGATATCAGGAGATCTCAGTAGGTTCAAACATATTTCATTCACTCACATGCATTTACTGATGTCTAGAGTGTATTCGAGTCTATCATAAAGGCTGTCAGAGCTATAAAAATGACCCAGACTCAGTTGCAGTCATTTAGGGTTTGCTGTCTAGAAAGAGAGGCTTTCAGGCACACTCATGATAATAATTCAAGGAGAAACACCTTGAGTGACACAAGAGCTCATCATGACACATTCATGCTTGTGACTGTTTATTTGTTATTCATTTCCTTCACCACACCCATAAGCTCTATAGTATCATTTTGTCCCTTAGTATATCCCCTGTGATTGACAGAAAATAAGCTCTCAATAAGTATTGGCTGAATAAGTGACAACAAGAGAGAAAATAATATATAGAACCGCTCCTTCCAGTATCCCCTCTCCCTGCCCATAAGAAGAGGAAGATCATGGTCTGGCAAATGACCTATTGGCTAGGAGTCAGAGTTGGGGGCGTAGTTCTTATACTAATTTCTCTTTACCTAGCTGTAAGATCACATCCAACATCCAATTTGTTGGAGCAGCTCTTTCCAAATTGCGATAATATAGTTTCCCCTCTTAATTATTTGGGAAAGGACATGGAAACTTAATATACTGTTTTGTAGGTGAGGTACCACACAGATGTGAACTCATTAATCCATTGCACCAGGTGGAGAAGTTTGCATCTAAGTTTTATATTTAGTATTTATTGACAATTGTCAAATACAATGCTTTGACTCTTCATTTTTGTTAGAAATATTACTTTCTATGACCACACGGTAAAAATGCTAATGGTGGAGGTGGTGGTAAAGCTATATGCTTTTATTACCTGGATAAAGATATTATTGCAGAGACTAGGTCAAACTCATGAAAACTATGCCCTTTTCATTTACGCAAAGGTACTAATGGCCTTAATAAAGCAGAACATATCATTTAAAAGGAATAGATAATTATCCTTGACAAGTAAGCCCAGAATGTTTAGGAATGAATTAGTTAATTCCCACTATGGACATTGAGCATTTGGTCTTTCATTTGGCATCCTAGTGAGGTTTCAGTAACAGCTGGAGACACTGCAGTGAAGTGTCTGAGGGGCTGTCTAGGTAAGGCTTAAGTGAGGATAATGCTGGTGTAGTAGTAGGGGCCTCAGATAAGATAGAGTGGTGCCACATAAAAAAATAGGTATAAACAAGAAAAGCTACGCTCAAATGTCTTGAACTCCAGGCAGAGTTTATGGTTTGTTGTGAGATGCTAAGCCACATGGAAGGAATCACATGAAAAGCTTACAGGAGGGATTTTAGTATAAGCACATCACGTGTGACTTAACGCAAAAGTATTTATTCATCACCTACTGTGTTTTTGTAGGAAAACAATGTATGTGAGGAAGCAGGTGGGAGGAGGTAGGCAGACATGGACAGCGAACTGGAAGTTGGGGGAACATACTTTGTTCCCATGGTGAACAAGATATCTGGTCAGAGAAAGGGAAGAAAAAGAAAATTGAAAATAGTGTAAAACAAACAAAAAGTTACTCCGCTCTCCCCAAAAAACCCATTTTCATTCTCATCATTTTTGATCCACGAAACAAAACCAGACACCTGAGCGAGGTTGCTGGTGTGTGTGTGTGTGTGTGTGTGTGTCACTGAGCTGGTGACACAGCTGGGGGGAGGTGCACAGCTGGCCCCCTGCCCCTGTGATCACTGTCCTGGAGCTCCGTCCTCTGTATTGAGCTCAAATGGTGGGTAGAGGCATGAAGGTGAGGCTTATTCATGCCAGACAAGGGGATCTGGTATTTTTTCTGTGAGGAAAAGCAGAGAGTGTACTCAGTTAGCAAAAGGGGAAGAGAGTAACACAACCCACCAACAGAACATCTTGACATTGACCTTGGACAAGGCTCTAGAGAAGAGCTCTTTAGAGGATGGTGTTTGAGTACTCAGAAGAACACTTGGCCAGCACCAGTTCACCAAACAACAATTGTGTTGGAATGACTTGCTTCCTTCTCTGACAGGCCTATGGCGAAAAACTGTCCTTTGTGCTTCAGTTAGACTCTTGCTTCAGAATCTTGCGGGGAAAATGGATAATCGAGAGAAATTTGAGTTGAGTTTTAAAGTTGAAGGGGATTTTAAGACTTATCTAGCCCCCTCCATCATTCTACAGATGAGCAAAAGGAAACAAGGGGTAAAGTGACTTGTTTGAGTTGTAGCATCATGATAAAAATAATGAACAGCATGATCTTCATAAAAGGAATGAACACATAGTAAGTCTTTAGTAGGTGATTAATGTGTGTTGACTCATTTAATCTTCAAACAAACTTGTGCATCTGGGTCCCAGGGAAATTCAGTAACTTGCTAAGATCCTGTAAACAATGGAATGGCGACGTGTACCCAGCAAGGCCGGCTTCTGAGTTGGTGCTTTCTTTATGGCCAGGGCTCTGCAGGCTGTGTAGCTAGTCACTGGCAGACAGTAGTCCATGGTGCTAGTGGCAGGACTGTCCCGTCACACTTCAGCCATCGTTCTTGGTAAGTTCTTCTCAACATTTTTATCCATGGAAATATGAAATAGGGAAAGCAGTTCATCAGAAGCCATGATATGAGGGGTGATGGGGATGGGAGAGGAATAAGAAAAATGCTGGATGAAGATGCAGGATAAATTAATCTGGATATTTTCATTTCAGGAATATAGGAAGAATAAATAGCTTGCTGGTCCCTGATAGAATGGGATGAATGAATGTGTATAAAAGACAGGACGCCTTGGGGACAGGGATGTGTGTGGCAGGCTAATTTTGCGTGAGTTAACTTATGCGGCTACCTGGAAGTGAATGAGGATAAGCAAACAGATCTCCTGTATTCAGCACTACTCATGTCCATGCCGGTTCTCAGCCCTGCTGAGGCTGGTTCCCTGCTCAGGGAGGTCCGGAGGCCTTGCCACTCTTCACAGTGGCAGCCTGGATCATTCTCTGTTACCTGCTTTTGTTCTGATCCCTTTCTTGGCCACTTCTCTTGTCACCCTGAAGTTTTCCCCTCGTCAGGCCCCTTATTCTTAGTTTTTGTTCTGGTTCCCCTCGTGTTTGAATCTTGACTTTTCTGTGTGATTTCTGACTTGATGAGCCTCTCTGTTGCCATGTAGCACCCAGGGGTGACCTCTCATTCTGTTCTAGTTCCCTGTGCCCAGTTCGTGGCTCTGCCTCTATTGGGTATGCTCATAGCATCCCCATTACCCTGCCAGCACTTACACCAGGAGGAGATTTTGACCACATCTAGAGTATTGCATCCAAGACCGGACAGCTCCTTTCCCTACCACGATGGAGCCTATGGCCGCTGAAATGAATTCATAGAAAAAGGACAGGTTTCAAAAAGACTGAATGCTCATATTATGTAGAATGAATGAATGAGACTAGAACACATAAAGAAGCTAGACTATAGGCATGGGAGATTTGTCTTTGAATTTGCATGAGACCCCACTGAGTAAGACTCCGGGACTTGTCCTGAATGGCAGCAGGGAATTGCCTAAAATGTGTAGGCAGAAACCGTAGGGGGAATAGGCAGATTTCAGCTGACTAAAAAACTTCCTCTTGGCAAGAACTGTCCAGAAGGGGAGTGGCATGGTAGTGAGTTCCCTGGTGTTGGAGGTGTTTAAGTGCAGGTGAACAGTGACGGGTAAGGAGAGCCGTATGACAGTCTGGACATCAAAGGAAGACAGACTCTGTGTGTGTGTGCCTTGGCTCCACTCCAGAGCGCCTCTGTGTCAGTGAGGACTTCATGGCAGTTTATGAGCAGGTGGTGTGATGACCAGGGAACCCAAGGGAAGGATGCCCAAGAGAATGACGACTATCCGGGTTCCCACATCCTCCCTATCTGAGCCTCTTCCATGAGTGGAGACTTGGGCTCCATTGTCAGGGCACAGTTACTTCTAGCCACCAGAGCTGGGGAGGCCCACCCTGAATCTAAGGGCTGATTTTATTTTTTGTAGTTTTCCACAGCTGGGGATTGAGTCTCACACTTTTTCAGTCTGCGCTATGAAAGGGCTCTGTTCTTTCTTGGCCCCCCACCCTTACCCCTCCTTCCACAGATCAAATACCAAGTGCATTGGCTAGAGTCAAGCCAGAGTGAGAAAATGGATTTTAATAAAACCCCATTGATTTGTGTGGGTGCACGACAAGGAAAAGGCACCTAGAGTCTCCCACCCACTGCCACCTCCCCTCTCTCCTGACCTACTCTGGGTGGGGCGGTCACACATCGATTGGCTTCCTACATAATAGATCCTGCCACCAGTGGGGACCTCTGGGGAAGCGCAGGGAGCTGGAAGAGTCGCAGTCAGCAGCCCAACCCTGAGTTAATCAAACTAGCAACAGGATCTCAAGCAGCAGCGACACAGTGGCAAGAGTAGCGGTGGCGGCGGCGGGATGCGTGGTTACTGACAGGCACCAGCTGCTGCGGCACAGCCACTCCAGCGATGTGGCCTCTCGGCTCGGGAGGCAGATTCCTGGCTAATCCCGGAGGGCTGGCCCAGCCCGGGCTCCCGGCGCGGCCAGGGGGCTATGAGCACTCCTGTTAGCCCAAGTTGGAGGAAGCCCTCTCCGCCCAGAGCTGGCAGAAGCTGTGACATTTCGCAGACGCACGAGAGGACTATGAACTGAGGATAAACATGTACGGAAATTATTCCCACTTCATGAAGTTTCCCACCGGCTTTGGCGGTAAGTGTTTCACTGGAGCTCCCCGTGGGGACCCGTCTGTGGAGATGAGAGGACCTGGGAAATATGAATGACTGAACGCGTGTTGATTAGGGGGAGGGTGCCTGTTTTGTTATATGCATATATAGTGCATTTCCCTGTGAGTATGTGTGCGTGCACGCGTGGGGTGGGGGGAGGGGGAGAAAAGGGGAGCAGAGAGCCGCGAGATAGGTGAGGATTTGTTTGCATGTTAGATTGGATGGCCAGATGAGAGGATCAGAGGATTCGGGGGCATTCCACAGACAGCGTCTAAACCAGCATGCTTGAGAATGCATGTGAGACAGATGGAATAAGAGCATTGTTACAGCCCGATGTGTTTGTGTGGGTGTGAAAAGTGGAAGAGTCAAAGGGAAATTACTATGAGGTGCCTATTATCTAACTTGTAATGAGAAAAAAAATGTGATGAAAAAGGGGTTGTCTACATTAAGGTCCCCGGGATACTTGTTAACAAGGGCATGATTGTTTTATTTCAAAGCAGATTGCCCTGTAATTGGATTTTTAAAAAGAAAACATAGCACTTTAATTTGCCACCCTGTTTTTGCTTCCCCTGTTTTCTTCCCTTTTGATTTGCTAATAGCCTCTTGTCCCCTCCCCTGCTGCTGCCCCCAATTCCACTGTGAGGGTGGAGGGTGACTGCCCTCACTCTGAGGGTGGGGTGGGGTGGGAGTCTGGGCTCACACGAGAGAGTCAAGGCTCCTGAAAGTCCAGGTCACTGCACAGGGCAGGGCAGCCGGTCACACTTCCGAGGCTGCTCTAACGCCCAGGCACATTCGTCCCAAGGCTCCTATTCAGTGAGAGAAGCAACACAGCTGCCCAGCTTTGAGTAAATGGAACCAACAGCTGACCAACTGGCCTCCCCCTTGTCAGCTGGTGGTGTGGAGCTCAAGTTCCTGGGAGCCAAAGAGGAGCTTGAGCCCTGCGTACACTGGCAGCCAGGACAAAGCAGAAATTCTTGTTAGGTTTTGAGAACTGAGAAGTCCCTGCTCTCCTGACCTCCTGTGCAGACAGATTCCCAAGCATTGGAAGGCTTGGGAAGGAAACTCACCTACTTCTCTGGCCAGAGCCCTCTGTGAGGCATGGGGGAGCTGGCAAAGTGGCTGTGGTCCCTGCTCAGGGGCACTGGGTCAGGGGGCTACTCATTTATTAGGGTGCGTTGGATAGTTTTTATGAACCAGGCTTGGCCTCAGGTGCTGGGAATGCAGGTGGCACGCGACCCTGAATTTGCCTCTTGGTTGGGGTTGGTTTGTTATTGACCCACTGGGATTTCCCCTGTGTGCCCTGGCAGAGGCAAGAGGAGGTTGTTGCTTGCAGCTGGGGGACCGTGCACATTTTTCTGAAAGAGTGATGTTATGTTATTGGAGCTAGGGTTGTGACATGATGCAGTGAGCATGGTGACCATGACTGGATCTGAACCTCTGATTTCCAGTTTAGACCTGAGCCCTGGCTGTGAAAAGCATCCATAGGGTCTGATCCCCCAGCTCAAGGCCCTGCATGGGAGAGAAACTTCTTGTCTCCTTCTCTGCTATGTCTTGGTTTTGCCAGAGATTTATTTGCTTGGATGAGTTGCTACCTCTAAGAAGATGGCAAAACAAAGCCTATAATCCACCCCCACCCAATTGTGCACCCACCCCCACCCAATAGTTCCCATGTTGGTTCCATTCACAATCGAGAAGTGCTTTTGCCTTTTCCCTCTGGTTCAGTTGTATGAAGCCCACGCTTCTCCACAGGATTCCCAGGTCCCCTGAGTATTGTGAAATTGTGGCTTTATGATGCTAAGGAGAACCTCCCAAATGGTTGGGATGACTGAGTGGGATAAAGAAGTGAGAGAGCTAAGATAAAGGATGGAAAGAAGTTCTAGTTCAAAATTCAACAGGGGCTGCCTGCTGGGAAGTTGGAATGTTAGCATCAGAAGGTGCCTGGAAGGGCATCTTGGACTTCTCATTTTACAAATGCGTAAATTGAAACCTCAGGGAAGGCAGGGTCTAAGGTTATGTGGAGCTGAGTGGGAAAGTTCTCCCAAAATTCTCTCACTCAGATTTATAATAGTATTTCTATAGCCTGAGATAGTGAAAAGAGCATGAAAAATGGAGTGAGGGTTCAGGAGAGAGAGAGAGAGAGAGAGAGAGTGAGTGCTGAGAGAGTGACTTTGGGGTTTTCACTTTCTACCTGTGTGACCTTAGGCAAGAATTGACCCTCTCCGAACCCTGCATGTCTAAAATGGAAGGTATAATCCCATGCTCAGATGACTGTTGTCAGCATTAAGTGAACTAGTGCATGAAAAAGCAGCACTATAGTCCATCATCCATGTATTTGGTACTTAATAAAAGTCAATATATTCATCTCCATTTGCACAAATAAAAACACACAAATAAGTTTAAACATCGGGCATCACTGTAGAACAGCAAATTAGGAGTCTGGGGAAATAAATTTAAACCCACAAAGAACCATTTACTTTGCTGGCTTAACTTTTCATAGTCGTGGGAGCTTGAGTATTTCTCAGGATTAGGTTCAGACACAAAGAGACACAAAGCTTGCACCCATGAGGGGCTGGGCTGATGTGGAGGAGCAGGAGGGGAAGGGCTGTCTTAGTTGTTCAAATGTCTGCCCTTCCCCCTGCTTTCTCTTCCCATTCCTGCGGGAGGAAAATCCTTATTTTGTTTGGTTCGGTTGATGTTTTCCATTTTGGTTGCATGCACCACTTAAGAGGCCACTGAAACTCTGAGCGCCGGGCACCACCCCTTTTGCAGGGAGGTCTCTCTGAGAACTTGCAGTGAGGAGCGCAGGGGGGTAGGAGGCTCCGTCCACAAGTAGGGGACATGTGAGGCGTGCTGTAGGCAGCCCTGCAGCCTGTATGTCTTTGCCCCAATGCAGCTGTTTGGCGCGTGACTCCTGCTTTTTATAGCTCTTCAAGTGGTACCGGGGGCTCCAGTGACTTGAGTGGGGATCACTAGGGAAGCAGAACCATGCCTTGGACTTGGGCTGTGCTGACCATATGTAAGAGTGTCCTTCTATCAGTGAACAAGTTGGCCAGAGGGTGGTGACTTTGTTTGCAGTGGTCCCACCAGAGGGTCTGATCCCCCAGCTCAAGGCCCTGCATGGGAGAGAACCTTCTTGTCTCCTTCTCTGTCATGTCTTGGTTTTTCCAGCTGCTCAGCGAGAGATTTATTTGCTTGGATGAGTTGCTACCTCTAAGAAGATGGCAAAACAAAGCTTATAACCCACCCCACCCAATTGTGCATAATCCTCAGGTGAGAGGGGCATGGATTTCACTTCACTGTACGAGGTGGCACTTACCCAATGCCAGCACCACGACAAGCTCTGCACCAGCGTCAGCAGGTTCAGTCCTTGTGGTGGTGGCAGATCGGTGTGGCTGTGTCACTATCACACTTGTCTGTGGGCTGGGGCCCTGAGGCATGGCCAGGGGAAATCACTGTTTCCGCTTCCATAGCTAGAAAAATGGCAGGGCCAAGGATTTGAACTCGGAAGTCTGGCTGCAGAGTCCAGATTCTGTGGAGCTCTCTCTCAGACGCCTGGGGCTGCACTTTGGGCACACCCCTGGGGGTTCAGAGTCCCTGCCCAGCCTCAGCACTGCCCGCTCCTTACAAGGCTTGGCTGTTAGGGATAAAACACAGGGTAGCTCAGCAGTTACCCAGCAGCAGCGGCTGCTGGAGACTTCCAGAGGTGGCTAACTGGTGGCTTCTTCTGTGGAACCTATCGATTTGCCAAAGTCCTGCCCAACTGACTCTATTTGTGTAAAATACTCCCTTTCCCCCAAGGATAGTGTGTGGGGGAGGTGTGGGTGTGGAGGAATATGCACATATCTTTGTGAGGACGCATATAGGTGTATATGAGAGAGCATGCTTTTTCCCTGTTTACATGTGTAGGTGGCTAATTGGGACCCACCATGGGTGTAAGTGGTTAGGGTTTATGTAGGGAGGAGTAAGTGTTTATGAGATTTAAGAAGGAACATATTTAGTATAAACTATTTTCTGAAATAATCTTACCAAGAGATAGAAAGCTGAATAGCAACCGGGGGCAGAAATTGTAGAAAAATTACAAAAAGTAATTTAAATTCTCCACCTCTCCTTTAGCCTCTTATGTAGCTTCTGTATCTGCAGAGAATATAGCCTCTGGAGTTAGGTGGCCAGGAAGCTGGGGGCTTCCTAGAGGAAGCTGCTATATGTTTCTCTTGTTTGGAAATAGGAGACAGAGAGGCCCAGGATGGTATACATTACTTTCTGGGTTTGGTTGACTCTCAGGATGCAGCTCCTGGTTCAGTGATCTTCACAAAATAGTGACAGTAATAGCTAACATCTGTTAGGCACCTTCTGTGTGCCAACCCCCCCATCCAAAGCATCACATGCACCATCTCCCTTAACATCTTGTGTGGCCTTCAAACTATTTCCTATCTCAGTGAACATCTCAAAGGACCCCAGAAGGAAAGTACAGTTATTATCATCCACCCATTTTATTGACTGGAGTGTTAAGCCAAGATCAGCTAGCTGGTAAGGAGCAGACCCAGGGCACAAACCATTGTTAGGGCTGCTGAGCTTAAGGCTGGGATGCTGTTGTCACAGTTGGCTGCTGGGGCTGGTGGTGGTGGTGGGGGGATGAGAGTAGAGGAGCGTGGGGGAGGGGCTAGAGTTCCACCCAGATCAGCTTTACATGGGTGAATTGTGTGTGAGAACAACAACTAGCATATTCACTTTTTACTCTGGGATTTTACAACTTCCTTAGGGCTCATAATGCAGTTATTTTCCTCCTGACTGTGCATAATTGCAGAAAATGAATAAAACCAAGGACTGGGCCCTTGAAGGTGCTAGTGAAACAAAGTTCCCTTTTTTTCCCAGGTGGATCCTATTTTTTTTTTTTTAACTACATGGAACTTGCCTTGCATTCTAGGGCAGAGGTTGGCAAGCTTTTTCTCTAAAGGGCCAGATATTTTAATCTTTGCTGGCTGCAGG